TGCGGTAGGATGCACGCAAGACCAGGTTCCACGTAGTTTAAGGTGTTTAGGCGTATAGACAACGCCCGGAAGCAGTAGAAGTACTACTACTTATAGGCATCTTTACAGCGGGAGAATGATGAAACCACTCGTCTTGGAGGTAGAGTCGCCGCAGTTCATGAAAACCCCGCAGCGCTATCACTGCCGCATGGGTTGTCAAATTTAGCCGTCACAGGAACGGCTTACGAGTCGGCCTTATCGAGTCTAGGTGTGGGTTCAGCCTCCCGACTTTAGACGCTGTTTTCAACTTGGGTGTTCCGCGGTTCAGGGTCTACGGCTAAAGCCGTATAGCTTCTAGTTTGGAATGTAGGAATTTGCGACAGAAGGCTGGTGTCCAGAAGCGAGCTCAATGCCGTCAACGCTTGAGGCGATCAATCATGCCAAACCTTCAACTACCTAGGGTTTTTGTTGGCCTTTAGGGTGTGGGGCTGACGGTCTAATCAAGGTTGAATGATTTAACACTTTAAACCGTTCACTTCAACAAGCCTTTAAGCGTTACCGGCCTTACCAAAGATTGATTTTTGGGTTCATTCTTAACAGAAGATGCAACGACGCACGCTTTCGTTCGATGTTCGAGGAAGCACACCAGCTCAAACCCTATAGCCTCCTCCCATATACCCTAAAACCTGACACAATAAGCTTTCTGCGCTAACACCCAACAACTGAAACCGACACTCTACAACTTCAATATTCCCCCGTATGAACTTGATGGTAAGTGCAGCCTTGCTCATGATGCTCCCCAAATCTTTAAAGACCTTCTACAAACCTACCAAAACCCCCACCTTAACCCACCAAACCCTACATTTCTGTAGGTCCTTATTATGAGCCTTAATATGGAATTTATAGGGACCCTACAAAAAGGAAGGTTCTGGTGGGTTAAGGTACAAACCACAGCTGCAATGTAAACTGAAGCCTGAGATCCGCACCCACCGAGTCGGTAGCGGATGGTCGAAGTTTTATCAACGCCGATACTGACTCCTCTTCGATAATGTAGGGCCCTAAGGACTTATGGGATTGCTTCTTGTTATTATTATATGAATATAGTATAATGTCGGACCCTAAAGAATTACTCATACCATTTTCGGGGATTCCGTGTTTCTAATGAATATCATATAATGGGCGCCCAAACCCTATTGTAATGATGAATTAAGGCCCCTTTGTAACCGGCGTTTGAGAAACCTGTGTAGGTTTGTACAGCAGGGCGAGGGTTTCCTTGAAGTTGGCCCTGCAGGGATCTATAGAGGGTTTTGGGGTTTAGGGGCTTCGGGGTTTAGGGGTTTCGACACGTTTCGGGTTTTAGAGGTTTGGCGTGTAAGGCTGAGGCTTCACAAGATCTCTCTCTCAAACTCCGAGAGTCGGACATGCTAAACCGCACTCCTGCACACAAAAAACCCTGAAACGCCAGGCCCTGATCAAAATTGGACAGTTGAGGGAGGACGAACTCGCGTGTTTTTCAATACTGGGACGTAGACGCCGCACAGGTCTCGGCGGCATGCTTGGGAGAGCTTTGTTAGGTGGGGGTAAACCTAGGCGCGTATGATTTACGGGTCCTTACAATAAGGCTAAGAATGTGGATCCACTATGTAGCGATCTAGAGTAAGGTCCCTTGAATGATAGAACTCTCGTGCGGATATGTGCCGAGGCCGGAATGAGACTCTGCCGGGATTCTGGTCGAAATCCTGAACCTTTAGCTCTCGAACCCCAACTTAAGCTCTAAGCCCATAGACCTTCAGTCGATTCACCTAGATGCCTGCAACGAGTAATACTTCCAGCCAGAGATGACCTTAGTCGGACTGTCCTCATCGCCATCTGCAAGAGGCGATGCGTGCCCTGGGAGATCCGTCCGTACCTGCTCGGGTGTTGCAGCTTGGTACCTGAGCTTGGTACATGGGCCTTTAGGGCAGTCTTGGGAACTCGCGTCAGCGCGTGGGGCCCCAAAGCAAAATGCGATTTTACAATTCCGCCGCAGCTACTCCGGCCTCATCGTCGTCGTCATCCAGCGGGCCTGGAATTCAGTCACACAGAACTGCACGCTCAACTTTTCTTGGCATCAGTGATACCTTCAATTTAGTGGGCTAAGGCCCTCAGCAGTTGGACGTGTTGAGACCGAAGCATGACAGCCTACAACTGTGCTGGCTAATAATAGCTGGTGACGGAGACCCCACACAACCCTTAAGCGTAAGACCCTGCACCGAGAACACTAAACTGTATAGTACCCAGTACCCAGCCTATGTTTTTCAGAAATGGCGAAACGGTCTCTCAGGTTGATCAGGAGCAAGATTAGAGGCTTAGAGGTCTGGATATTTACACCACAATTTAATTTCATCAGCTACAAAGCCTCTTCTAACAATTCAGACTTCAGCTACAAACAAAGACGCAGTCCAATGAATGAGTGCTGGCTAGAATAAGCGTACTGGCACAATAACCATACTGGCCGTGGTGGTGGTGCTGGTGGTGGTGGAGGTAGCTGGTGGTGGCGGTGGTGGTAGTAGTAGCAGCAGCAGCAGCAGCGGTGGCAGTAGCAACAGCAAACACACACCACATCTCGATGGTTCGTCGACCTCACATGCTCACTTCTTAGTCGAGTGTTCTAGTCTTGGTGTCCGCTACTGTGACGATAACGATGCATCATGCTTTCGGTGGTATCACAGTTTGTCAGTTCTTCTTGTTGTTCCTGAAAAACATGTTGCTTGCTCTAGTATTGGCAGCTTCTTTCTTCTGTAAACTACGACGACCCCTTCACAGCACCGAATTCGCTTTTCTCTACATGCCCTGAAAGGCTAGAAGCAAGCAAACCTTGGATAGCAGTGCATGGCACTCCATTCGCCGAGTGTCAAGAGCTGACGATCTATTCTAAACATGACGGACTGATATGTTGCTTGAGTGCTTCCAATCGTCGAGCCTTCATCGCCCCATACTGACTGCAGACCTCCTGGGCCCTAAATTGCAAATCCTACAAGAGCCTTTGACTTTCAACCTTACAAACCCAACTCTCCAAGACCTATCCAATCTCTTCCACCACCATGAACCCCATATTCAAGCCGGGTAACTACTAAACAAAGATTACACCAATAATTCCAATATTCGAAACATGAAAGAGAAGCTAGTATCGTTAGTAATAACAGCAGCACCACTAATCATAATAGAAATAACAATATTAACAAGACGAAAAACCGTTCAAAGAACGATCTAAAGCTACACAGAACGACAATGTTCATGAACAAAACGAGTAAAAACGAATCATAATCATAATATTGAATAATAATTGTACAATCAAGTATTACTCAAAGGCATCAAGAACCACATAACAATGCACTTGAGAGACCTAAACCCTAAACCATAACAATGCACTTGAGAGGCCTCCAAGCAGGCCCTGCTTCTCCTCGGGAGAGCAGGCGTCCTCCTGTGGCTTAGGGCTTTAGCGGCTTTCGGGTTTCTTCAGGGTTTAGGGTTTCTAGGGTGATAGGGTTTTTCCCTCCTACCTAGCAAGACGAGGCCCGCATTGCAGGGAGTCTTGGTTGAACTGCTGAACAAGCCGTGGTCGTCACAGTGATTTATGCGTTCGAGTTGCAAGTTGCTTGTTGACTCACTTTCCAAACAAAACGTGTCTCCTACTGCTACATCGGCAGTCAGAGCAAGTTCATCACGAACCGAGGTATGTGTTTGGCCAGGATTGCAACAGTCATCTTGACAAGTGCACATCGCCATAGCCACAACTAACTCCCATCACGCCCATACAGACAGACAAAGCTGAGCTATGTAGGACGGGACAGCTTGCAAGTCCCCTTCGTCAAGGTTGCTGTAGGTCCCGCTGCTAGGAGCCAGGACCCCAAACTGACGCATGCCTGTCGAAACCTGTGCACCGAAGATTCTGAAAGCCCTGCAGCAAAATGCCGAATCACGAGCCAGCATGCATGCATTGCATGGGGTTGGATTGGCAATCAATTCAGTCATTGCAGTTGCATCCAACTGTTGCATCCAATTTCCTCTCTATACTCACAAGAGAAAAGACGGCGCTTGGGCCTGAATCTTCACCCACTAGGATGAACATTCAGGCCAGAGCAGCCACATTGTCGTTGCTTCTCCCACTCCAGTTGCAGCCAAAGTGCCCAAGCTGTCATTATTCAGTGGCTGTCAACTGCACAACTAACATAAACCTCCCCAGGACTGGAATTTGGCAGAGCGCCCACACTATCAGCAGGGTACAAACTTCTGTCAAAGTGAGGGGGGCCAAAGTGCACCATCTTGCACCAGAAGGTAGGCAGTACTTAGGGTTTGAGGGTTTTTGGGTTTGAGGGTTTTAGGGTTTGAGGGTTTAGGGTTTTAGGGTTTAGGGTTTGAGGGCTTTAGGGGTTTAGGGTATAGGGATTACGATCGAAGCGTAAATAAATATCTACATTCTTCCTTGGCGTTCCTTATTGGTTCATTATTGTAAGTATAAATGTAGGTATACTTTTAAAGGGCCCAAGACCCTGATCCAATTATTCAGGCCCCCACATTAGGGGCTTTCAGGGACTGATCAGGGTTTCGCGTTTCCCAGAGCCCCTTAATTAAGGAATATGCCTTAAATCATATGAGGGCTCCTGTTATAATTTAAGGTAAGGGGTTTTGGAGTCTCTGGGTTACGGTTGCGTAAAGCGTGTCGGGGGAAGTCAGCTTTAGACTTTGAAGGCGCTTGGAGGGCTTTAGGGGGGTAGAGGCTTTAGGGTTTGGGGGTTCAGGGTTTGGGGGATTAGGGTTTGGGGGATCTTAGGGTTTGGGGGTTTAGGGTTTAGGGTTTGGGGGATTGAGTTCATGGTCGAAGCTGAGGGCTCTGAAGAGAAGATTAGGGCGTCTTAGTGGGTTTTCCGGTGTGGGTTCAGGGTTTCGGGGTTAAGGCCTTGGGCTTCGGGCTTTCGGCTTGGGCTTCGGGTACAAGGTTTTGCGTCTTTGGGGTTTTGGGCTCATCGAACGAAAGTGTT